CTTAACGTCTACAATACGAAGATTCACAATTAATTATAACTTCCCGTTCATTTTATTTCGTCACTCAGTCTCAACAGAAATAATAATCGTAATGTTTCAACTGCTGCATCTGTCCTTGTCATTGGCAGGCAGGGTGGTTAATCTTGCAGCATTTCCTTATAACCACCAATGCCACCCAATGGCTTCCAAAGCCACCTCTACTCTGTCTGCATTTTTTGCCCTTGAGGCCATGCTTTTCAAAAAATGAGCAGTCTTTTGTAAAGCATAGAATACTAGATCTTCATCGATTGTCCTAACAACACATATTCCTTGGCTCTAGGCGTCCTGTATGCAAACAATCATATCGTAATTATCACGCTTGATACGGGTTTTCCACTTCAAATACCACCGGGGTATTCTGGCTTATCACACTTATAACCCAAACCCAAGAATAGAATAAACAACAGGGATGTGCATGGTCTCACAAAGATGTTTCCTACATGCAGCGTTCGGGGTCTACTCCCAGATTGACTATTTTTCTTTTAAGTTTTCAACGAACAGAGCATAGTACATACAATTCAATAGCATAACGTCATTTTTATGTAAAATTTTTAAACTTCAAACGAATAAATATATTTTTAAGTCTTAGTGCTCCGTTTGCTTAGGAGTTTCAAACAATTAGTGTAGAGTGCATTAGAAATTGCAATATTATATTACCTAAACATTATCAATAATATGAGAAAGTACGCCCTGTATATGTAAAGAAGTACCACTTTTTCGTACTTAATCTTCATCATTACACTGGGTTTAAAGGTACACGATTTTTTCTTAAAGCAATCTCTTCTACTATATTACGTTAAATCTTACCACTATCGCATTCCTAAATATTTTAAGATTTTTTCCTTCATGAAACCTGTTCTTTAAACTGCTCAGCTCTGTAAATGAGTTCAATTTTTCGAAAATATTAATAAAAACGACTAATTGGCGTGTAGTTTGGCACGAAATATAGACAATTAACGTTTTTCTCAAAAGCCACTCCAATTTTTTTCTTTAGTTTTTTCTACGGATAGAAAAAACTTAAACATGATCGATTGATTCAATGATTAGCGATTTCGAGCACGTCAACTACTAGGGACATTCATCCCGTAAGTGTAATGCATGTTTTTACTAGAGAAATGGCGGTGATATTTCTCCCCGCCAGATTCGGCGCCGACCTACTGTCGGTTAGCGGAGTTTTCCTCAACCAGGTATTTCCCACCTGCAGGGACACGCTCCTGAAGGGTCTCCCGGCATGTGCGGTTGTGTTACTCTAAGTGTGTGTGTGTGTGTGTGTGTGTGTGTGTGTGTGTGTGTGTGTGTGTGTGTGTGTGTAAAGGGTGAGGAAGGTAGGATCGCGGGTGGTCCGTGGCCCGTTCGTTATGGTACTGCTTCGGCATTTGTTTGATATTGAGCGGAGGAACCATGAGAAACTTAGAATTATCCTCCAGACAGCGACTGAATTCAACCTACTTGACAAGCTAGTGTCGTAAACCCTGCCACCTAGTAACCCTAGGATCCCCTGTCAAAAGGGCTGCAATGACATCAGTTGATGCCCTGAGCCACCTCTCCCGGTGGGCTGCCTAAAATAAAGGCGCTGGTCTCATTTTCGTTGAATTCTCTAAATATGTGCTATTTTAGCATCACTATTTTTTTAAACTTCTCACCAATTCTCACAACATTACGCGAAACTATTCATTCTTTTAAACATGTTTACGTAATATTATTTAAAGCTCTAAATTTGAAAAAACGAAAGTATTTGGTGGAAGGGGTGAGGAAAATTTTAAAACTTTTGCTATTTTACTTTATCTCGCACTCAGAACCATAAAATCGAATACAAACACGATGTAATGTAACTGAACAACATCTCGAGAGTATGTTGGTTATTTTTACACTTAGAAAAAAATAAAGCACCTAGAGTGTTCTTTGTTTTAGCACTTAATATTAATAATTATTAAAATGAGGAATAAAAATACAATTCGTAAAGCAAACTCTCCATTAATAATGCGAATATAGAAGGTAATAAAGATGTTAACATGTAAAAAGAAGTGTATACTAAAATTGCTTCTAAATGAAATAAAACGTAAAATGAACAGGGCAGCGAACAAATATCTAAAATGAATGAAGCGATGCGAAGCAAAACGTGCTGTTGTAAATATTTTTCTTAATGCGTTCAAATAAATATTGCGAAATATTACTTACGGATGGTTGACTTCAAGGATGGCAATTCTTTTTGAAACTCCAACACTCCAACGTTAACCTCAACGAATATAAAGATGCCTGGTCGACGAGAGACCGCTAACCACCCCCCTACTGCGTGGCGCATACCTCGGGGTGAGGTGAGTACGACCTGTTAGCCCTCAACCACGCGACAGGCAGACCACAAATGCCCAAGAGCTGTGGAAAGCGCGGCGTTATCACAGGGCCGACCACAGGACAACTACGGACGATCACAGCCATGTTGGCTTGTAGAAACTCTTTGACAGATTACTCATAACACACATTTATCCATTCCCCACAACCTTCTACCTTCTGATCTCAAGGAAAGTATGTGATGTTAGTAAATGCATGTCCATTACTCATCAACCAGAAGGAATTCAACTTATCTGGTTATTCATAAATATAGAGAATCTTCCAGAGAATTCAGAAGTATTCTAATTATCTCATTTTCATCCAAATGTCGACTTATCAGCATATTCACGAGATCAAAGATTTTGTTCATTTTTTTTATTTTTATTAAATTCAGAGAGGTTTAGAGATTCTCTATCACAACGTTTCTCTTTACACTGACAAATGCAGACGGATAATTTTATATAAGCAATTATAAGGATTACTACAAAAACGTATTGATTGATTCAGTTTCTTGTACTTTCAAATGTTCTGGAAAAGTAGTAAACCTTTTTGCCTCTTCCAGGTGCCAAAACATTTTGGATTCCAGGTTTTAGGAACAAAATATTTTATATAGAACGGAACAGCTGCTGCTGCAAGTATATTGCGCGATGTAAACAACCATTTAGCCATTACATGGTACAAAAAATTTCTACATATAAAAGCGGGCAAACAATATTTTCCAGATAAATTTTTAGTCAGGATAAACGAAAACAGGTTTGTTCAAATCTTTCACCATATTCACTGAAAAAGTGCATTATGATATAATTCGCTGGATCTATTAATGCGACTCAAAATAATGAGCAGAGTTCTTGTTGGCACATTATGCGCTGGTTTTCGGCACAAAGATTTTTTACATAGAACTGCACAGTTGCTGCTGCACGATCTACACAACCGTTTGCATTGTCTAGTCTCTCCGGGACGAGCCGCAACTGTCGTGGTGGGTGACGCTTCGGCCAACGTCACGCTCTGAGGAACTGCTGAAACTCCGGCCGCTCCACTTTCGCAGACATAAACAATCGTTCATTCCTTAAATGATTTTAATATTATCTACATCATCTAAAGAGTGCAAACAATATTTACCAGAGATATTGTTAGAGTAAAAGAAAACACGTTTGTGCAAATCATTCGTCATATGCACTGCACACAGTATTTTGATAGATATTCCTGATTCTTTAAATGCGATTAAAAATAATAAGCAGAGTTCTTGTTGGCACATTCAGGGGATTTGAGTTTTGTATTAAGGGAATATATCATTGATGTTTTGGACAGAGGTTTCCGAAATGAGATGCAACTGTTAAAAAAAGAGAGATACGATGCACTTATGCCGACTTTGAAAGGAAAGCGAGACCAATTAACTGTAAAATAATCCAACGAATCTCGTTTTATATTAATCGGCAAAAGTGGCTCAGGTCATCAATTGATGTCACTACAGCGCCTCTGTCGGGGAGGTCCTAGGGTTCACATTCCGACGGAGGCAGGCTTACCCCGGCTGCGGCGGTGCCTCGCTCGTGCTGATCACCTGCTTGGGGAAAATCCCCGTGAGTAGACACCGGTTTGCGCCAGATCTCGCCATCCAGCGGGGAAGATGAAAACATGCACGGCACATACGGGACTAATGACCGTAGCGTTAAGTTTACGCGTCTGGAATCACTAATCAATCAATCGCTATATTCAGTGAATAATGGAAACAGTTCATAGTGTAATTCGTCAAATGTGCAAGCTTTTGCATCATGAACCACGTATTGGAATTCGTCCAAATACTTTAACATAATGCAAAAATATGTATGACACTTGGTTTGTTGTTAAATTTAATTATTAATCTAGTGGATTTGAGAAACAGAAAGTCAATATCTTAGCTGTGTAAATTGAAAAAGTAAATTGGAACAGAAACAATTTTTTTCTAGTTTTATCTTCACGTCAACTTCTTTATTTTCCCAAATTAACATCACAAGAATTGCAAACTTATTTATTGGATCACACTAGTTGAAGCAATCTGTTTCATATTTACCAGATATGTTGGACAATAATGATACTTCGTTTTGAACTCACTTTGCAAGTTGTAGTTTGTTTGTTTTTTGTGATTGACGCTTGTGCAATAAACAAAAACTGAAATTGTAGTGAATTATTATATACTGAAAATTCTATGTATAACTAACAACACAAATGACCACAGCTGTAACCATATTACTCATCATGGTTTATAACTCTTAATGTAACAATTCGTGTATTATAATCTTGGACCGAAATTAGCTCGACCCAGAGAGAGGCGAAGACACACGAAGGCACGCGGACTTCCACGAAACTCGAGCGCCAGCGGTCGAAACGCGCCCGACTGCGTTACAAAATCCGCCGCGGATTAAACGCCGCCAATCCGCTTTCGCGACGCTCGCCTGCCGCGCAGCTCTGATCGTGCTCATAAGACAACACGTGACGCGAAATTTCCGCTGCGGCCATTCCGCATAGACGGCGGGTCTTCCGCACACCTCTGTGGGAGCCTTTAAGGTAACGACACATGAACAATCGACCAGGGAGGAAGAGTATAAGACACTTGTATTCGTTTCAGGATACAGTAAAGCCTCTTTTTCTTTAACTCAGTATTTATTCTTGTATCAGTTATAAATACAGACCCGTGAAGAATATCTCCACTTTGTAATCAATAATTGTTTTAAAACTAAATTTATTTGTAGTAGAACCTAACTTTGAACGGACAACTCTAGAACTTATGTTAGAGCGAGAGAAACCATTCGAATATTCATAAGTATTGCGATTAAATGCATAGAAAATCAAACAGTTCCCTTAATTTCATTGTGGCAGATTATTTCTGATTTTTTCTTCAATTTAAATTTACCTAAATTTCGAGTTCTGCGTTTTCCTGCATGTTTATGCTATGGAGTGAGTGCGCTGCCTGCCTCTTCGCTGGCCACCAACTTTTTTCTACGATAAACGCAAGGCTGTGCATTTGACACTGCCCGCAAATTTATTGGCTTCTCCTTCCCCTGAAACCCACATTTCACTGCTTTTAATTAAAGTAGATTACAATATAACACTATGTTTATTGCAAACACCACTAGTTAGTATCATTTTAAAATTCAGCCACGAACTAGTACACATTATTACGTTTGTCCTTACGTGACCTGTCCGTCACATATGACAAAATTATTTATTTACAATTCTTTTAATTAAATCTATTTTGTTGTTTTAACAAAACACTCCCACATCAGTCGCTTTATTGTTTTTCGATCATTTGACATTGTTCGGCGCAATTGTGAATATCACGCATATTCACAATTGGTCGGACATCAATATATGAAGTTTGACTATCAAACCAGCATTGTTGTCTTGTTGAGATGCCCTAGTTTTGAATCACAACATGGCAAATTTAGACATCACCTGAATAGTAGTGTTACGCGAAATCATTGTTTGGATGAAGTGGCCAATTGCCGACGGCCGCTTATTTGTTTATTCCGTGGTTTACTCCTGTTGGTTTCTGGGGATTAGGAAAGCAGTACGTCAGTAGAGATCAAAAATCTTTCTATTAAAGCTCATCCCAGCTCTGAGCGATGGCATTGATTCGAGCATCAAGGGCTGTCGCTGTTGGTGCCAGGGCGCGAAAGGTTGAGGTGGCGTGTCCTCCCACGGGTGGAAAGGTCATTCCATCTGCTTTCCAGTATTTTCTGTGATTTTTAGTTCGTCGAACGTAATTATTTTATTCGCCACATCAAGTTCAGTCAGAAGAAAATGGCCCAAATTCTTACTTTGAATTCACTACTCGCATCAAAACCGTTCTCAAACTAGTTCACTACATAATAATAATGAAATTATGTAACCACAAATCACCAGAACATTATCTGAACTTGACCTTTTAATTGCTTCTCTCGGATTTTGCTGTGCATTTGTTTCTTTCAGGCGGATCTCTGATTAGTCTTTAGTAGAATTCCTACATAAACTTTATGTAAAAGCGTGTTTCTTGAGAACTCTTACGTTTACAGATTTACCTCTACGGTTACGTCAGGGCGTTGTGAATGGTCTCACTTAATAACTCATTTCTAGGTTTTGAGGCAACGTTACGTGTACGTTAAAGTTCGCATTGTGAATAAGGCCTATCACATTCCAATCAGTAAACAGTAACATTGTTGTTGGTAAGTACTAGATACCATTCATGAGTGCTGTAAAATCAATTAAAGAACGTTTGTTGTGTGTATTAATATTTTTTATTTTACTTTTTGTTAATCCTCTTTTATGTTAAATTAGAATAATTCTTAATCTTGCACAAACACACTGCTTTAAGTTTAGACAGCGCCATCGCGATAGGAATAGTGTTCTAATAGTTTATTTTTACATTAGTTTGCTGATAAGTTTTTATTTATTTATTTATTCATTTACGTCAAAAACAGTTAAAACTGTGTGTGACGTGCTATTGGGAGAAGTTAATTTAAAGTTACATTTATGTCCAGAAGCAAAACAAGGGCCATCTCAGCATTGGCTCAAGGATCAGGGAAAAGGACGAAAACCTGATCAAGATGGGATCATTGATCTAGAAGCTGAGGTACAATACTTGTTACAGGTTCTTTAGAATTATACAATCCAATTAATATATAATACATTAAACGTGATTTTTAAAATTAATATTACTTTCCTTTTGGATGCTCGGTAAAGTCTCCAAAAACGATTTTACTTTTGACTTCAACTTTTGTATCGAACTTAATCTTTAACGTCATCTGGCAAGGTGTTGTAACATAATGAACATGTATTGTATGTGCATTTTTGGTAGTGAGCTGTTGATACTGTCACCTGATGAATATGATAACTACATCGAGTGCTGTAGTTATAGACATCGGGGTTTGCTAAAAATATATTCCCGCTCTTAAGTCATTTTTGACAAAAAACGGATTCATATATCAAGAGACAAGGTAATGTTAAAATACCTAGATTAATAAAGAGAGGTTTACAAATATCACGTGGGTGGAATTTGCTTATTAATCGCACAATCCATTTTTGTTATCTAAAAGTCTGGGAGCTGTAAGATGTATTTCCCCAGAATATTATGCTATCTCATGCAGGAATGAACATCCGCGAAATATTCACAACGAGCAGTATAAAGGCTGACTGAATTTGAAAGAATTCTAAAAGCGTAGCATAAATAATTAGTAATAATTAGTATTAGTAAGTAGTAATGGACATTCCATTCAAAATTTGACTGAATTGAAAGACCTAAAAATGTTATCTTAACATCAGTCAATAGCAATTCATTTTCAATAGAGCACAGAACTGTTTATTTGAAATGGAAAACTGCATTGAAACAGTTTTCTTTTCATTTACTATTAATTTGTTATTACGAACCCAATTTAAAATATGTGTATCATCCGCAAAGAGAACTGTTCTTCTGTTTCTAATCGTCGAGGGCATATTGTTTACGAACAGGAGAAAGAAAATAGGACCTGCAGGACTCCACATGAAATTGACAAATAATCGGAAAGGTGTGTATATAATGTTTCTTTATTTCAGTCGGTTCTTTCTATTCTCTGAGATCGTTGTTGATGGCAAGAACATAACCAGTCTAGAGCAATACCACGAATTCCATACGATGGTAATTTTGAAAGTAGAATGTTATGATCAGTGACGTCAAAAGCTTAGAAAGATCTCAAAATATTCCAAGAGGTGCTTCGTTTGACCATGGCTGTGTCCGTAGATTTTGATTTTCGAAATCCATGTTGGCAATCTGAAAATCGTGTTTACTAAGAAAGGTTCGTAGGTAAAAAATTCTCTCTAATATTTTTTAAACAACCCACAAAAGATAAATTGGCCGATAATTTTGAATTTCATTTTTGTTGCCTTCTTTGAAAAGCGGCTTAATCTTAGCTGCAAAAATATCTGGAAAAATTCCTGTGGATAAGGATACATTAAATATGTGCGCTAACGGTTGTATAATGACGGGCGAACCAATCTTTAACAAACAATCCTAAAATTCATCTAAACCGAACGAATATAAATTTTTTAGTGTACCGATTATTTTGAAAATTTCTAGTGTTTCTAGAGAGTGTCTAAATTTTTTGGGGAAACATTTTATGTTGAATTTTGTGGCTAAAGACCTTTAGTGAGATCGGCTGCAATTCTCAAAACGTATTGGTTAAAGAGACTAGTTAACGGATCGTTCACATTTCTATTGTTATCTATTAAAATAACATTCTCTACAAGGTTTCTAGTTGATTTGGACGAATTTTTTACTATATTCCACATTGCTTTTTTTTTATTATTAGAGTTCAAAATATCCTGGTTATGGTTCATGACTTTAGACTACCTTATGACTTTTCTTATCTATTTCTTATTATTTGTATTTTTCAAAGTATAGGAGGAAATCTTGAGATACGTTATGATGTTTAAAAATGAAAGAAAGTATTCGTTTGTTTTACATGATGTCCTAATTCCTTGTGTTGTCCAAGAATTGATTATCCGTGAAATATTTACTTTTCTTTTTTGAAGAGGAAAGCAAGTGTTAAAGTGAAATGAAATCGTTTAAGAAAAATAATTATATTTATCGTTTGTATCAAGAGTATTGCAAACCGCGTTCCATGACTCTTGCAGCAAGGAATTGATGAATATTTTTATTTTACTTTTAGTAAACAATCTACTCATACGAGTATTATTTATTGTGTCAGTGTTCGCATTCTTATAATGGTAAGAGTTTGTGCATCGAGATCACTGTATCCTAAATCTTTTGTTTCAATTTCATCTCGAGTAGTGGTTTGCTAATTTGCTAATCACGAACATAAAAACGCATTCTTGACATGGCTACTCTCTTTTCTCTCTACACCCTCAAAGCCGACCTTCTGAAACGTTTTCAACGGCATACACATTTGAATCCGTCAAGGTGATAGAATCTATATTATTTCTAAAGTAACTGCAAGAACCCTCTTATGCCGGACCTAAATGCCATTCCTTGTCTGTACAATAATAATCTGTGAGGTAAAAGTGTGGAATTTGAAAAATGTTAAGTTCATTATGAAATAGCCAATTTTCTGTAAAGCAAATAACATCCATTTGATTTAAATCGATCGAGCTGCTTCGATAAACTCAGTTTTATTTGAAAGGAATTGAACATTATGGTGCAGTATCTTTTACAAGTACCTACACGTACGTTTTTCAACTGCATCTGAGTGTAGTTGCTATATATTTACTCCTTTTTTCCTCAAATCGAATGTGCCCCGACAGTGTGTGAATAAATTGATGCATCAGGTGTAGGTGAATTGGTAGCGGGAATGGGAGAAATGGGAGTAGGATCAGAGGAGGAGGTAAGTGGGTTCGAAATAAGGGTGGGTGCGGAGAGCGTAAGGCAGGTGAAAGGGTCTGCGTAGGACTGGATGTGATGATGTTTTGTGCAAACGTGTTGTTGATGTATGTTTTACAGCAAGGTTCATGTAGAAGCCATGCCGAGTGAAGTTTTGCTGAAACGAAATTAATTTCAAAAAGTGTTACATTTGTTTCTCTCAGTTGCAGTTTTAATTGTTGGTTTGCGTGCTTAATCTCGCTGCATAGTGTTGGTCTTTTGTACCAGAAGGGCGGAGTCGAGGCTATAATGTTAGTATTTTGAGCGGCACATTGTAATTTGTTTACATAGTGTTCAGGTATAAAGTTACCACCCAAATTAATGTTATTCTGCACTCTTATGATAATGACTGTGTTCTGATTGGTCAAAGTGTTTGTGTGGGTATCCAACACTGCAGTCACGTCTGAAAACCTCCCGTTAGGTTTAAATATATATGAGACTGAGTTGAGATGGAGGGAAGATGACGGCCATGGCTGTCAGCTAAAATAAGTACTTGCTTTTTAGGCTCTGTAAGAATGTCTTTGATTTCAAGTGGGCTAGTATGCGCAGCAGTCCGTATTTTGGTTTTGGCCCTCTTCCTAGCCTGTTTGCGTTGGTTTGTGCATGTATTTTTCGATGGTATAGAAGGGTTATGACGATCAAAAAGGCGAGAAAAATGGTTCATATTCTAAAACACTATTTTTTTTGAGTTGCGATTGGATGTGCTGTCCGTGTCTTTTGGGCAGTCACGGGTAAGAATTCCAAGTGTTACCGACTTGCAGCCAACCGTCTCTGTAGAGAACGACGAGTTACTGTTTATGTGAGTGAAGTCTTTCAGAAGGACGGCTTTGAGGGTGTAGAGAGTATGAAGAGTGGAAAGATTAGTAGCCATATCACGAATACCTTTTAATGTACGTGATAAAATCGGAATAAATACAAGACACGCAGATAGGAGCAACAAGAATCCATCTTAATATTTTGAAAGTAAGATTTTTGCGTGCTACGTGGCGCGAGCTGTGTTCTCGGCACAGGGCAGTAGGCGACCTTCATATCACTGATATGTACTCGGTGATTACCCAGCACGTCTTTGAACGCTTCGATGTGCGGGAGACAGCAGCCGCGTCCTAGACAATGTTGCCATCCTTTCGGCAGCCGAACTACGACCTCTTCCATGACAATTATCACAAATGCTTCTAAATATACTTTGTAGAAGAAGAAGAAGCAGCAGCAGCAGCATATTCGTCTCCAGCTGGATCTCTTTTCGCTGCCCTCTGTGCCACCGGTCGCGCGCCCTGGCAGTCATCGCTCCCGTGATAAACCGCTGCTTCTAGGTAAAAGGTCACGAAAACGCAGCCTGGCCTGGGCAACTACTCAAAGCTTTGCTGATTTCGTCAGAGCCGGCGCTACATTATTTTGCACCTCGAGCAAAATGAGATGCTCATCCATTTAATGTAATAATGCGCTCCCCTCATATAATAAATACTTGCTTTAGAAGAATAATGTACGCGCAAACGTATTATTGTTCAGAATATCAACATAAAGACAATAATGATAAAGTAAAATGAATTCGATAATTAATAATAAATTACGCATATCTAGGCTTTCTTCTCACAAAATGAATAATTAGTTTATTAATAATATGATGCGTACCTAGAAACCAAAAAAAGTATTCAAAAGAATGTAAGAAAAGTGTGCCCACCCGAAGCTTTGCGCCCAAGGCGACGGTAGCGCAGGCCCGGGATACAACACACCGCCGAATACAATAATATAACACTAGCGATTGAGCACAATGTAGTGATGGGTAAAAATTTGTACACTACCTCTTTGAAGCAAATAGTGTTTTATGGTTGATGATTAATATTTTGCATACATTTCCTATATTCTTGTTCATCATCAGATGGTGCGAGTGGATTGAAGCTGCTTTCTCTTCGTGCGAATACATCTGGACCGTATATTCTTAAATAACTAACAAGGGAATACCTAACTAACAAGATGAGACATGTGGAAACTTGTCCTAATCCTTTTCATCAGAAGAACATACCGTATTAATCTCACGATCAAACTTTTGGGTACACACTAAAAGTCAATTAAAACATTCTGAATTTGCAAATTGGCCCTATGCTTTCACCGATGTAAAAATGGCCAACCTGCAAAGCAGGAGTTACCCAGAGCGCTCGCTTGTGGTTCAACGCCACTGCTCGCCGCAAGCGGCCGACCCAGTTTCCAAGGTCGTTTCCTGCGAGGGGCAGGCGGGGAGGCAGCTGCCCTTCCAAGCAGCTAAAACTAATATTAACAATACAAAGTCTTAACTACTGATACAAGTTTTTCCGAATTTTAGTTTTATCTGCTGTGTGTTTAAACCTTGCCGCAACCGCTCATCTTTCATCCAACATGAGCAACCTCCCCTGAAGCTCTTTCCTCACAAATTTGAGAGCTCTTGTCTGCGTCTACTGCGAAACAGGTCAGTTGGGTAATCACACGCGAAAGGTCGGTGCAAACTGGAAAAGCGGTAAAGTTGTAAATCTTTCGGGATTTTCGAATGAGAAAATTGATTTAACGACACAAATAGGCACAAATTTAAAAAACGGTAATTTTTGCGAACAAAAAACCAAAATTAGGCCATGACATGTGAATTTGATTCACAAAACAACTCTTAAATCTCTTCTTTACATAATTTAATTATAAAGTGATACAGTAGTTATATGATATACGTTTTCAATATTTAATAATTAAGCATATGGACGATATTCATAATGAAAAATAACAAACTTTCATTGGTAAGAAAATAAAATATCCCAAATAAAATGGTCTTTTACAATAAGAAAAGCATGGCCTACTCCCACCAAAAGTCATTTGACCTTGAGGAAACAACCCTCTACAACTCCAACCTCGGCGCTTGCGGCCTGTCCAAGCTCCCTGTAGAAACGAAAAATGTACGAAAATGTTGTCAAATTTGGTATTTTTTAAAGTAATTGACAGTATGTATCGGCAGCCAAAATTGATATCGTGGTTTCAGATGGGCATGTAAATTCAACGAAACAAATATGAGGGCATGTTTCGATTTGTCACACCGCGGCATTCCCTTGTAAGAGGAGAAGTGAAGAGAGTATTATCCCTGATAGCAAGGGATGCAAAACGGTTACAATTGACTCGTAAAACATCTGGTTATCACCAATATTTATTTTCTCATTTATAAACCAACCTGGCTTCGTGATAAGTTCTGCGTTGTGTGGGTTCTGTTGCGGGGTGTCTCGCGTATAGTAATTTGCATCAAAGGTATCAACGAAAACTCACTCAGGCTCAAAACGCTTCTCACGCAACAAGTCCTCCTCCGCCGCCGCCGTCCGTCGCGGCGGCGCCGCTCTGCCGGCCGATCACCCGTCGACCCCATTTTTTGCGGCGACACTAACGCCCCTGGCGGCGCCGTCAGGCCCACGCTGACAGGCGCCGGCGCCGGCGCCGCCCGCTGAAATATTCATGGCGGAGACGATTGTGCGTCACGCGCCGCCCCGGGCCCGCAGGGCGCCCGACCCCACGCGCTCGGCCGCCGCGTTGCCTGGCGTCGCGACTCTCGACAGCAGCTAGCTCTTTAGCTCTTCTTTTCAATTGGGGTGCCTTTCGGTTTTGCTGGACCTCCTCCGCGGATATCATCTCTCGGCGCCTGAGAGGTCATCCCGTGGTAAATCCCGCTTCTCTACGGACAATTCTCACTGACGTGCTGTCTCGTGCTCCCCGAGGTAGTCGTTAGAACCGTCTCAGTTCTGTATCATTACACTTCTTCTGGAGCTTTCATCTAGCCGATAGCCGATTACCCTTTAAGTCCCGATGGAACGCATATTCGACCTTACACTAGACGCCAACACCCTTGCCTGCTCCTCTGATTTGGGATCAGCAGAACACGAGGCCCGCCGCGACAACATACACGAGAGACAAGGGAGAAACAACCATGCCCAAGGCGGGAATCGAGTCCGCTATACTTTCAACAGACACGCACTTACCCACCTTGGCCTTCCAGGTTGGCTGTATCATTACATCATCCAACAAAATAATAGAGAACCCCTCATATACGAACTCGAAGTTTTGAAATTGCATTGAACGGGAGAATTGTATTGATGTTGCATCATTTTATTCCAAAGGCATTGTTATGAATTTCACTGCTGTGGTATTATTGACAGTAAATGCTAATAAAACTTAAAAGAGATACATAAATATTGAAAATTATAACCTAACATACCTTTTCAGACGTTACAAGACAAATTCATAATTAATATTTATTGTGAAGCCTAATGTGCTGATCCAATGCATTAATCTGGAACTATCTCAGATTAGAACATATTACAGGAATATTATATTTCACAAGTGATGCCTGTAGGACCACAACTTGAATATTGAACACCTGCGCCTGAGTCCTACAGAACAGTTGCAACGGAGGTCGAAATGTGCTGCAAGGAATCGGCCGCCCACGTCGCAGCGCGCGGACGCTGGAGGCGAGAGCCTGTCTAACGCACTCTGCCCTTAGGCACTCCCTCTGCGCTGAACCACGGCTCCCTGCCGGCGCAGGCAAGCTTGGCAAGGCTAGCTCGTCCCTAGATATGCCACTTCGGTTCTCGAAAAGACCAAACACTCAAAGAGGTCGCCGTCACAATAGCACATCTACTGCTTAACAGACAAATATCATACAGTTTTCTTGCTGAGAAAACTCCTGCGCTTTCTCTCTCCAGGAGTGCAATTGCAAACACTATCCCGAACGTTCTCGGAAGAAAACTTTTAACTGATTAGAGAAATTGGCAATCATGGCACTTTCGAATATGAGAGCGAATAAGGAAATGAGAGAGGATAGCGAATTCTTCGTGATATCGTGTCTGCACTAATATCATAACATGACAATCTATTACTACTACTTCTCTACAAACACTTCACTACTAAACTTCGAGCACTTGGTCTGATACCAAAAAACTTTAGATTAAGTTAATTACTAAAAAGCCTCAGATTCAACAAAAAACTTCACGACCGATACTCCTTATCACAATATAGCTTTTTTGCAAATAAGCATACAAGGGCTTGTCCATAATTTGATGCAACAAACTGACGTGTTCTCTTTGTACAGCTCGTTTGTTACGTTTTCGTCATACAATGTTAACAGTTGACTGTTCGTTAGCGCGTTGCCAAGGTTCTCGAAGGAAACCGAACGTGAAAAGAAATATTTAAAATCAATTAGCACATGATCGTCAAGAAAACGAAATATAACAAGGAGTGCATACTCTACGGCAACATTGATTCTAGACATCCCAACACCGAGCTGTCTGCACCCGAAGCAATTTGCCACCCACACAAATGGAGGGTTATTGACGAATTATACTAAAATGTTTATACTGCACTCACTTCAACATTGTAATTGAACTGAATTTACTTTTTTTTAATGCGTTGACCGTATTCCAGAAAACCCTGGCGGGTGTTTTCATGAACAGGTTGCGACTTCTTCCCTGTCAAAGGGGCCTCTCTGTCTCGAAGTGCGAAGTGCTCGAAGCAGGAGAAGTCAATGGCGTAAGGAATGTGTCACATTTCCATTGAGTTTCCCGCGGGCCGCATGAAGCATAATCAAGCCCAACGTTACTTTTTCTTCGCAAGTATCCGCTCGTCCTTGATTCGAGCGAAGGGTACGTTAGAAAATTCACGATAAAGGTCCGGACGTCATATAAGTGCAAAATTACTTTGTTTTGTTTCATGTTATTTTACAGGATTACAGAAATATTTATTTGGCACACTCGTTTCTGAGATAATTAGTTTTGCAAGACGTGTAAGCATGTTAAAATTTAACGAAATATACAGTAATAGAAAAATACATAATTTTATCAAAGTAAGTAAAAATATGCAAAATAAAAATTGTTTTCATTCATTTAGAATGTCATACAAACATCGGTGACATCGTCCAGCGCACACGCCACGGCTCCCCACTTCGCTGCTAAATCAACAGCTAATTATATTCTTCTATGGTCCTTTTCTCACTGAATATTGTTTTTCGTCTTCTGATAGTAGCCTCGCTTCCCCCAGAGCCCCCGTTAACCGGAACTCGGACAATAGCCATTACAACGTGTTTCTGTATTTGGAAAAGCATCAATAGCTCTCACTCATAACATTAATTTTATATTAAATATAAGTAAATGTTAATAAAACGGAAACGTTCCTCAGTAAAGACTTAATGTCAAAAATCAAATCGAATTTTTGACGTTTTTAATTTAAACAATCAATAAAACTGTCATTTAAGCGTTGCTAAAATTCCAGAAGAACATAAATGAATGAAATGAAAGCATTCACTCATAAATGAATCTTATTTAACTCATGAAAACAACTGCCAAATATTTATTTCATTTTTCATTATTCAACAATTCACCCCAATTCGGCGGCATACTCATATTTTAATAGTCAGGATTCAGTAACTTGAAACTTCAATCGTGTCTCCTGAAAAATCTTTTTTTGTATTATCTCACTTTTATAGAAAATGAACAAAAAGATCGATTTTTACAGACTATTGCTTTATGTAGTTTCATTAAACATTGCAGCAATTATTCTTTTATTCGTGTCTCAATAGCGACAATCCTTGAGTTTCAAAGGACCCTGTTTGAAAATTGAAAAAAAGTGTATTGATTGCAACAGCTTTTTGTCATTGAACATTTTTTCCCGAACTGCTTTCCGTGAAACTTCAGGGCTTCCAAAAAATATCATTGTGTTTTACAAAACGTCAAATATCACATTCAAATTTTAAAATGAAACCGCACACAAAAATTCTGTTATTCGCTTGGTTGTTAGAGCACAGCAGCAAAGGCCAATTCCGATAATACGATATAGCCCCTACCATATATTGAACGAGGGGGAACAGAATCTTCCTAGAATAACTACACAATTTTCTCGCGATTGCTAGAGTGTTCTTGACTATTCTGGCTACATCCGGTGAGCCCTAAAATGTATCTGAATAAGCTTGGTAGTAAAAGCCAGACAGATTAGGTTACGCGTACAATTTATTAAAGAGTTCTATGCACCAATACAGGATTGATTGTGGTAAAGTATTCATTATCTCACTCAAGCAAAAGCGGAGCTTAATGGTTCAATTTTGCTTGTTCCAATACACAGAAGGACGATCCAGGTTTTAGATGCTTGCTAACCATGCTTGCTATCGTCATAAATACGTAGGCACAATTACGTAGCACTTTACTTGTGAGATATTTATTATGATCCTCATTATCCAGTATTTCCGGCCATATGTGATAAATTTCGTAATGGCAGCACAGATATGGTGGTAATTCATAACGATTATTAATTAAGGATCGAGGATAACAAAGTATATTACAATATAATTTAATATTAAGAATTAATAGCCATACACGTGTTTTGGGAATAACTTATTCCTTCTGCAATGGCTCTGCAGAGCTGAAAATAGGTGGACAAACATAATTAACACATGAAACGATATCAAAAAGCGCAGGAACCGATGAGATGTAAATGAATGTAAACTTTATAGAAATAGGATACACAACCACTTATCATGAATTAAACACTTGGGACTTAACTCAGCGCGATATTGTATCTTGTGCAGTGTACTGTGACTGACTGAATAGGAAAAACTGAGGAAGGGGAAGTGGAAGAGTGGCGAAGTGGGAAAGAGGGGAAGTGGAAGAGTGGGGAAGGTAGTCAATTACGATTTTTGTTATGGAATACACTGTACTTGTGATTGTTCATTAGAAACTATTAAATTCGTATTTTGGAATCATTTTAATATTTCCAAATTATCTAAAATATTAATTTTATGTTATAAATTGAGAATTTTGAAATTGGGATAATTTATCATGGGATACATGGTTTTAAAAGATGGTTTATAGATACTTTATCTTCTTTGATGATGGTATGAATGAGAGCGGTGGATTGACAGACAAGGAAAACCAGAGAACCTCGAGCTTTTATCGATTGACTGATGATTTTGGTCGCATCCACTGCTAAGGCCATTAGTCCCTCAAATGTAGTGCATGTCTTTTCCTCGGGATGCGACGATGACGGTGGGATCCGGCGCCGAACTTCCCGTCGGCTAGCGGTGTCTTCCCCAACCAGGTATCTCCCACCAGGACAAGCCCAAGCTCCCGACCCGCCTCCCGGCATGTGTGGTAGTGGAGTGCATGTAATGTAAGTATATGTGCACGTAAGTAAGGGGTGAAGATAGGACAAGGAAGGGGAAGGAAACATCGCCCGCGGTCCGTGGCCTGTTTGTTAGGGACCTGCTCTGGCATTCGCCTCGGAAAACCACCGACCAGAGCAGCCGGCCTCTAGAAGCTAGGACCTTCCGGACAGCAAAGCATTGGAATCAACACTACAATACAACCTCAATTTTCGGTCGTAAAATCAGTGATTACGTTTCTTTGGAGCTATAACTTCTCTCACAAGTCAGAATCAGAATCAGGGCATCATGCCCTGAGAAAGGTCGCAGAATGGC